TATAATTATCATATTATTAATTTTTTTATTGCTTTCTTTACATTAAGTAGTAAAACAATTGCAACAATAGTATAACTCATAATATTATTGTTGAAGATAAATATGAAATCCAACATAAATAATAATTTGATTCATAATTATACAACTTTAGATGAAAGAAAATGAATCATTTATTTATTAATAATTGTATATAATAATTATATAATAAATAATAAATATATATATATAGGCAATGAATAGGTGTGTTTGGATTTGTCCCAAAAGAGATATCCACCTTGTGAAGAGACATGTTTATTGAACATGTCTAAATGATCATGTGTTTGATCATTCAAATCCGACCAAAAACCATGTTTGCATAATTTAAAAGTCCAAAGTTCACAACTATTAATTACATAAACAAGATTTCCACTTCTTTATCATTGTTTTGACCATTTTACAGGATGGATCTTAAGCTTTGAACACTCAATCAAATGGTCATGATTTGCATGTCTTAATCATGCTTTTCATCACTTAATTTCATACATTGTATGGATTAATCATACCAGTTCTTGTTTAATTTGATCATGATATTTCAAGGACTAAGTTTCCTTGTTGTTAAGCCTATATGCATTGTCTACTAGAGGTGTTCATATCCGATCCAATCCGATTGATCCGACCTAAACTGATCCAATCCAATAAAAAATCAATCCAATCCAATATAAAATTAGATTTCTTTGAATTCTAAAATCTTAAAACTAATATAATTGATTTGGTTCCTGATTTTACCTTCAAACTGCCTGAACTGCCCAATTACAAAATAAAATCCGATTAGAAGATAATTTAATTAAATAATATAACATATTTTTTGTAGTATTTTAAACTTTCTTTTTTGTTTTATTTTGCAAGATTATAACTCCATTAACTTAATTAAAAAAATAAAAATAGAACATCTCCATATTTCCTAAGTTATTTCTCCATTTTAATCATGCACTCTAATCATAATTCTAAATTTCTAATTCACCTACAACTCTATCATCTGAGAATCGGTTTACGCCTTTATTTTTAGAACCCTAAATTTCTAATTTATTTTTAAAATAATCTTATGATTCTCCTAACTAAATTTTAAA